ATTTCAAACTCTCTGGTTGATTTCGGAGATCAAAATATACTTTCTCAGATCTGAAATTGTTTGAATTCGTCGTTTTAGAGTTTTTGATTGTTCAATTCCTCGGTTCAATGGCTTCTTCCTTCGAGATGAATGACCTCAAAAGTAAGTTTCGATGAACTCTTTGTATCGGTTGATTTATCGGCTTTTCTCGATTTCGGATTTGTTTGTTATCGATGAGGAATTTTGTTTCTTGATTATGGATTTATCGTGTGTTGATAGCTATGGAGGCTTTCGATTTTGACGTTTTTGTTTTTGATTTCTTTATGATGTTGGACTCGTAATCATTACTGAGTCGTGCAAAATTCCAAAATTTCTACTTGTCTTGTTGAAATTTTGATGATGTGATGGTATAATGTGCAGAGATTGGACTAGGCTTGACTGGATTTGGTGTGTTCTTTACATTTCTTGGAGTGATATTTGTGTTTGATAAGGGACTCATCGCCATGGGGAATGTCGGTATTTACCATCTTTGTGCTCTTAACGAGTTTAGCTAGCTTTTATGGTAATATTTAAGTCTCTTTTATCGATTCGAACAGATCCTCTTCTTAGCTGGTGTGACTCTAACCATTGGAATCAACCCAGCAATCCAATTCTTTACAAAACGGCAGAACTTTAAGGTTCTTGAGCTCACTATCTCTCAAGTTTTCTATCTGATTCCTGAGGTCATCACAAGACAGACACACAAAGCTATGACTACGATATCACTTTGCGAGAAAGAACTACCTTTGTGTGTTGTAGAGTATATTAGTTAATGAATCTTATTGCTTGTCTACTTCTTGCAATCCAGGGAACGATATCATTTGGATTGGGTTTCTTGTTGGTTGTGTTTGGATGGCCGATTTTCGGTTTGCTTCTCGAATCATACGGGTTCCTGGTGCTCTTCAGGTGAGTCTTTTTGGAATTTGCTTCTCCTAAACAACATTGTGTTAGTTTTGATTTGTTTACTGATGTCTTTTCTTCCATTGTTCTGTCATGTTAAGTGGTTTCTGGCCTACACTTGCCGTTTTCCTTCAAAGGATACCTTTATTGGGCTGGCTTTTGCAGCAACCATACATCCGATCGGTACATTTTCACTGCTCTCAGTTTTACTGTGTAAGCCATATTTGCCTAATCCAATTGAGGTTTACCGAGTTTTGGTTCGTTGTATCAGTTGCTGGATCGCTACCGTGGAAGGCGTGTTCCTGTCTAAAAACCCTCTTTTCACAGAAGTACATATCCTCTAAACGACTGTGGATACTACACAGGTAAATATGTAAATATAACACTCTCCTACACATTGTGTATACGTTGTAAATGGTTCTTGGAATTGGGTTTGTGAATAATATCAGATCTAGTCTTGTTGCTTTTGTTTTCTTCTCTTTCTGATTCTGTGATCACCTGCCAAATCCCACTTATTGAGTCTTCTCCATTTTTTTAATTGGAAATTTGGTTTGTTCTCAATCTTTTTGTAAACATTATTCTCAATCACGATTTTAC